CCTGGTGGGATTCACACCATCACCCCTCTCACACCGGGCAGGCCGGAGTCGGGGTGGGCTGGGGGAGGACAGCAGGCAAAGAGGGGTTTGCACATCCCATCCTGCTCCCAGGCTCCCCAGGAGGACCCATGGCAGCTGTAGGCCACGGGCCCACGTTTCCACACCATGGGTGCAATCAGCAGAGCAGCTCCAGCCAGTCTGCAGGGCCGCTCCCTGTAAATCTCCTTAGGCACAAAGAGGGCACAAGGCAAAGAACCTTCTCCCATCAGGCTGAGGATGAGCCAGGAGGCAGAAAACTCACCAACCCCGGCCCACGGGAGTGAGCAGGGCCGTGCCAGGAAAAACAAGGCCCGTTTGCCCTCTGCCCACACTCGGCTGAGGGGTGAGGATCACCTCACCCCCGATGGTACTGATTAACCTGAGCCCTGTTTGTTGTTTCTAAGGTCACTTCTTGGCTGGCAGCAGCAGGGATCATCAGCTTGGCCACGCTGGCAGTGCTAGAGCTGCACCCACCACAGGAGCTGATGGGTTTGGCTGCCACCAGGAGCAGCAGCAGGCAGGGAACAGCAGGAGGGACGTGGATGTCCCCCCTGACTGCCCCAGTGGCAGCTCCAACATCAGCCCCTGGCCTTGCCCTGCCCGGGCTCCACTGGGCAGGTTTTAGACATCCAGCAAAAAAAAGACCTTCAAAACACAGCAGAGAATCATGGAATGAGGTTGGAAGGAGGTTGGAAAAGTCCTCTGAGACCACCGAGTCCAACCATCCCCAGCACTGCCCAGGCCACACTGAGCCATGTCCCCAAGTGCCACATCCACAGGGATTTTAAATCCCGCCAGGGATGGGGCTCCACCACCTCCCTGGGCAGCTGTGTCAGGGCTGGACAGCCCTTTCCATGCAGGAATTGTCCCAATATCCAACCTGAGCCTCCCCTGGCACAGCTGGAGGCCGTTCCCTCTCCTCCTGTCCCTTGTTCCCTGGCAGCAGAGCCCGACCCCCCCCAGCTCCCC